CCTCTTCCTCTTCCTCTTCCTCTTCCTCTTCCTCTTCCTCTTCCTCTTCCTCTTCCTCTTCCTCTTCCTCTTCCTCTTCCTCTTCCTCTTCCCTTCCCCTTCCTCTTCCTCCTTTATGCATATCCTCTCGGGATGGCAGAGCCGGGTTTTGTGTGGAGAGCAGATCTGTGGGGTGGGTGGGAGCTTGCCCAGGGCTGGGGCTGGGATGCTGGCACCCTACAGAGGTTTTTCCACGGCTTTACAGGTTTCCCTGGATTTTGTGAAGAGTGGCAGCTACGAGCTGGAACGGATGGGAGTGACCTTCCCTGCCCAGGCTCACACCAAGTCCCCGTTCGACCCCGACAACAAACGCGTGAAGGGTTTTTACTGAGCGGCTGCTGCGRACTCCGAGAACCAAGAGGAGCTGCYGGCTGAATTYCCGACCCCTGGATGCCCCAACTGRCTSCAGGGTCAGCTGGAAGAGCCCAGCAACCGCCTGGAACTTGTCAAGTAAATTTGGATGGAATTAGAGGGCAGAGGAGGAAGAGATTCCAAAAAGTCCAAAGGTTCTGGCGSTCTGTTTTCCAAGTGAAGCGGTGCCGCTGCAGCAATAATTGTTTTCCCTGGGTTAATTGGCCTGCAAACAGTGTTTGCTCTCACTGTTTATGGAGTGGTTTCAATTTTTGACTTCGCTGGAAACTCTTGCCCCCCAAATGCAGTTTCAGGCTGCCTGGAAATGATTTTTTTTTTTTTAAATAACTCTGCTCTCAATACAGATAGGAGGTTTGGAGCCTCCAAAGCTGCTGTCCCTCTGGTCCCTTGCTGTCCCCACTCCCATGGGTGTCACCTCAATCTGGCTGGGCCCTGGGGACTCTGTGCTGGGCTGCGGGCTGTGGAGGGAAGGGGCAGGAGTGCCAGGTCCTTGTCCAGGCTCACGCTGTGGTTCTTCTCTGCCAGTGCTGTTTGTGTTTCATGGAATCACAGAATGGTTTGGGTTGGAAGGGAAGATCATCTCATTCCATGGGTTCTGCAGGCAGGRACACCTCCCACTATCCCAGGGTTCTCCAAACCCCATCCAACCTGGCCTGGGACACTTCCAGGGATCCAGGGGCAGCCACAATGTTCAGGCAGTGGTGTGAGGTGTCCAGCGGGGGCACTGACCCCACGGCTGCCCTTGGCCCCATCGCTGTCACCTCCCTKGTGTCACCTCCCRAAGGTCACCTTGGAGGTGGCTCCTTTATCTCCCGACAGAGAGGGGGATGCTGGCRGAGGCTGAGCCMTGAGCTCAGCCCCCTGCAGCCTCTSGCAGCTCAGAGCCAGCCTTGGGGGCAGCAGGGAAGGTTTTTTCCTCTCACGAACACAGCCTGTGACCTCCCTGCTGCTGAGGGGAGGGATCAGCACCTCCCAGCCCATCCCCATCCCTGTCCCTTGCTCTGSTCCCCTCACTGAGCTCTCTGCAGAAGCTTTCACCCGCCTGGAGAAATAATCTCACTCCCTGCTCTTCCCTTTATTTCCCTTGACTGGGTTTGCTTGGCTCATTCCCTCTTTAGAGCTGATTTCAGTTCCTTAACCTCGCGCCACGAGCGCCACGGGCAAGAGTGTGAACTCTGAAATGCTTTGGTTTTACTGAAAACATTCAAAAMCAAGATTGAGATGAATTTTCCCCTCGAATAGGAGGTGACTGCCCTCCCTCTGGCAGGCGGAGGGCAGGGGAGGGGGTGSCTGTGTCCTGTTGTGAGGGAAGGAGCATTCTGGCTGCCTGCTAAGCCAGGGATCCACTCTGTGCCTGGAAGATCAGGTTTTGCTTTWAAAAAGCTTTTCTGATGGGCAGTGCTCTGCCCTGAGGGTTTCCCTCACACCCAAGGTGGCTGGGAAGGTAATTTTGGKGGCCTGGATCCCCCTGTTCCAGGGCAGCAAGGTCACACACCAGGCTGGGATGGACACGGGCAGCACCTCCAGCCTCCCCTCTGCTCCTCCTCAGCGCTCTCCCTTTGGAGCTCAACAGCGAAAAGCAATTTATTTTACATTTAGATATTTAATGGAGCAATTTTTCCTTGACAAAAGATTTGTCATCCCCCCCTCCACCCCTCCCYTTTTCCAAACCCCATCCCAGAGGTGCCGTTTGTTCCCAGCCATTGGCATCTGGTGGCACCGAGAGGAGCAATCTGGAGCGGGGAGGAGTGGGGGAAGGAGGGTGGTGGGGAGCTGAGGTCCCTGGAGGATGGAGGGGAGTGTTGGGTGGGTTTGTGGCACCCCTCCATCCATCTTTCCATCTCTCCATCCTTCCATCCATCCCTCCCTGCCAGCAGCCAGCGTGTGGGAGCACTAGTGGAGCCACCCTGGGACCGCGGGACACCGCCAGGGCTTCTGTGCTGCTCCCACATATCCCTTCACCCCGTGCCTCAGTTTCYCTGCGGGAAAACAAGCTCCTTCGCCGCTCCCCGGGGCCGCGCCGGGCTCGGCACAATAGCGAACCTCGCCGTTGTTATTCCGGGGGTGGGAAGCAGCATTACTCAGAGCCAGCATCGCTAATGGCGCACTAAATATAGCGGAGTACTTCGTGAACTCTGCCTGCTGAGCCCTCGCCCCCTCCGGAGGAAGGGCCGGGACAGCGGCTGGCATCGCTGCGTGGGCAGGGCGCCGGCAGGGCGGCGGGATGTTCTCCGGGATGCTCCCAGGGATGCTCCCTGGGATGCTCCCTGGGATGGTCGCCCAAGATGCTACCAGGGATGCTCCCAGGGATGCTGCCCGAGATGGTCCCAGTGATGCTCCTGCCCAGGGATGGTCCCAAGGATGGTCCCAGGGATGCTCCCGCCCGGGATGCTCGCCCAAGATGCTCCCATGGATGCTCCCATGGATGCTCCCAGGGATGCTCCCAGTGATGGTCCCAGGGATGCTCCCAGGGATGCTCGCCCAAGATGCTACCAGGGATGCTCCCATGGATGCTCCCAGGGATGCTCCCCAGCGATGCTCCCAGTGATGGTCCCAGGGATGCTCCCAGGGATGCTCTCCCGGGATGCTTCCAGGGATGTTCCTACCCAGGGATGCTCCCAGTGATGCTCCCCGGGATGCTCCCAGAGATGCTCCCAGGGATGCTGCCTGGGATGGTCCCAGGGATGCTCCCAAGGATGCTCCTGCCCGAGATGCTCCTAGGGATGCTCCCGCCCGGGATGGTCTCAAGGATGATCCCAGGGATGCTCCTGCCCAGGGATGCTCCCAGGGATGCTGCCCAGGGATGCTCCCCCAAGACGCTCCCAGTGATGGTCCCAGGGATGGTGCCAGGGATGCTCCTGCCCGAGATGCTCCCAGGGATGATCCCCAGGATGCTCCCAGTGACGCTCCCAGGGATGCTCCTGCCCGGAGGCGCTGCCCGTCCCGGTGCCGGGCACACTGTCAGTCCCTCCGGAGCTGGCCCAGCTTGATGGGGACGGGGCCAGCGGGCTGAGGCGCCGGGGCGGGCGGGCAGCGAGGGACGGGCTCCCGCAGCCTCTCGGTGATTCTGGGCAGCGGCTGCTTCTCCCACTCGCCCTGCAAGAGAGGTCAGCACCRTGAGACCCGGCGGGGGTTCAGGGACTCGGGGGCTCCGTGTTTTGTCCTGCTTGGAAAAAATGACATCAGCTTTAAGGTTTGAAGTGGTTTTAGCCAAAATCAGGGTATTTTCTCGTGAGATATGGTTAGTTATTCTCAGTGCAGAAGCACCTTCACATCCTCTCAGATGTCTGAGGTGCTGTACGTTCCTCAACCCACCCCAGCTTGAGACTTTTCACCCCAAAAAGTGTTCCCTACCAAACCACGTGGAGACAACTCCAACCAGGGAGTCCCACATGCTCTGGGAAATGCTCCCYACCAGGTCCTGGCAGGAATTTATGGTGTTCCAGCATGGATGGAGCAGCAGGGATGCAGCAGCCTGGCTGAGGTGCCGTGGAGCACAGCCAGGGAAGGGCTGTCACAGCCATCAGGGCTCACGGTGACCACAGCCAGGACAAATCCCCCCAGCCCTGCGCATCGTGGAGACACCTTGTCCTGGGGATGCTCCCCGCAAAGAACAACCTGCCAGGTGCAGGCAGCGCCCAGRGCTGAGCCTGCCCAGCAGGATCTAACTCTGAGGTGACACTGGCCTGGCTCGGTGGCCGCTGGGGACACGGGCAGGGGTTGGGAGGGTGCAGGGGGCTCAGCTCCGGGGCGGTGATGCTCTGCTTTGGCTGCCGGCTGCATGTTCATGCGGAAATGTCAGCGAGAGGCTGAGACACAGCGCGAGCAGGAGGAGGGAGGTCTGGAGAGGAGAGGTAGAGCTGTGAGTCATCAGCGAGATGAAAGTGGAATTTGTGTTTTCAGCCGAAATTTCTCCTGGTATGTCAAGAGAAACGGGCCAGAGCGCTGGGAAAACCCTGGGGAAAGATGGAGTGGGATGGAGGGACCTTCCCAAAGCTCATGGGGAGTGATCAGAGAGGGGACAGCCTTGTAGGGGAGCACCAGCTGGAGAAACAGCTCCTCTCCTGCACCCTCATGGCTCAGGGGAGCAACTTTAGGGTGCGCCTGCTCCAGGGCTCGGCTCCAGCCTTGAGCCCATCTGCTGCAGCRTCTGCCCTGCTGAACATCCCGAACCCTGTGCCTGCTTTTTGGGGAGATCAAAGGCATTTGGAGTGTCCTGATGGTTGTTGTTTTCAGTGCTTTCGAGTGGAAATCTGAACAGAGAGAGTTTGCTGCGAGSCCTTGCGGGTGCAGGGGACTTGGGGACGGCACCGTCCCCACTGCCGCTCACAAGTGTTACCTTGAGATTTGGCTCGATAATTAACAGCACTCAGTTCCTTCCAGAAATCATCAGATTTGGGATCACTGAACTGCAAAAACATGAGCTTAATTAGAAGCTGGTGCTTTTCTCCTGGCAGAAACAGTATGGAATAAATGAGACGTCTCCGAGTTGGGCTCGCTCTGAAACACCAGCGGAGCAGAGGCTSCTTCACCCTCGCTGCGAGGCTCCTGACCCACTTTGTGCCAGCAYCAGCTCTGCTCCACTCCAGTCCCTCCCTGACAGCCCCTCAGACCTCTCTGAAATCAAGGGAGTTGTCTGGGTCATGATTAAGAGGTTTAACTCATCACCCTGCTGCTGCACAAAACTTCTGCACCGCTCCCGTCCCTGCAGTGAAGCTCTGCATGGGCAGGAGGTGCCAGGTCTCCAGTGCCAGGAAACTGGAAAGGTTTCTGCCAGCTCTGAAGTGAAGCTTTGCTAAAGGGAATTTACTGTGGCAGAAAGCTGATGGTCATCCCTGCAATCAGGGACAGCACTGGACCCAGGAATAAGGTGTTATCCAAGTTTATCACCCTGATAAATGGTGTTGGAAACTGATGCCAGCAGYGGTTTTAAATCTTCATCACCTTCATCGTCATGTCCCTCGTCACTGGGCCTGGTTTCATTTTAAAGACCTCTCAGTCCTTTATCCTTCACGTTTGGCTGGATCAGCCACGTTCGGAGGCTGCACAGATGCTGCRCGTAATGAGCTCGCTCTGCTGGGACCTGGGGTGATTTGCCAAAATCCTAAAAACCACCTCACGTTTCTCCTTGGATYTGGCCCTACTTTAACACTCAGCAAAAGCAGCCTCCAAATCACTTTATGCAAATGCAGCTCCTAATTGGATCTGGCTGAGAGCGTCCGTGGTGGGCTCCAGAGGTATTGTCTAAGCACAGGGCTGGGCTGAGCTCCATGTTCTGCCCATGCCAGGCATTTTCTGGCAGCTCCATCTCCCTGCTGGGTTTGGATGTGTCCTGAGCGCTGCAGACCTGGCCCTGCATCTGGGA